GTAATTTATGTTATTAGCATCAGATCAATGTAAAATAACAAGGCCCACGGCGCGGCACGTTTGGCAAATCGATGTTCTCGTTTGGCGCGCAACCCTAAGCCTAGGTTCTGCTGCGCCATAGCCAATGGCATGGCAGTGACATGCCAAGGCCCACGGCGAGGCAGGACCTGGACGCAGACAGCAGCCGACCAGCCTCAATTCCAATTGAACGAGAGCTGCCGTCGGTGCTGTAAACAACTACAAGTGCTGTCGTGATGCATTGAAACGAATGTGAAGCAAATAAATGGAGTCCGTGCGCAAGTTGATAAGTTGCCACATAACATTTTCATTAGTTCATGAGTCTGCAAGTTTCGGACGACAATATTCATTCGACATAAGTTTGACATAACCAACTAAGTCCCATGAGTGTAAGGATCCCTCTGTCTCTTCGGATTTGTAGGCAACACACTAGAAGTGTAGCCAACGTCGGTGTGGGGCAAGGGCACCTCTGCTTCGGTGTTAGTCAAGAAGTGTGCTCGGTGCGGGTCATCGTACTCCACCTCAAGAAGGGGGTACAACTGGTGCTGCGTGGGAGGGGCCATCATGTTACAAATTGATAAACAAAGGGTTAGAGTATTTAAATTAACAATATTCAAATTAACATTATGTAGCATTGCAAAATTTGAACTACTTGTTATGCAATACGAACACAATATGAAAGCACATGTATATATTCAAAGTAACATTAACAATATGAAAGCACCTGCTGCCCTCGTCTTCTATGCATGCTAGCCTTATGACCAGGGACTTTGCAAACGGAGCAAAGATTCCTGCCACGGGTCTCGTTGAAGTCTCCCCCTCCGTACATGTCTTCGTCGTACCCTCTCATAGCGTCCATGTCCCCCTTGAGTCTCTTCTTCTTCCTCCTACCTTTCCCTACCTTCATTAGATCCGGATGCGGCACGTAGTCATAATCATTATAAGGTGGCCACTGTGTCGGTTCAAGGTATGGCTCGAAGCTCATCTCCCAAATACTAACGGTGTTCGAACGTAGATACAAGGGTGACATATATGGCAGATCCTCATAGTTGTACCTGCAAACCCTGCAGGTCATGATCATATGAGAGCAAGGGGCATACATGATCTGAGGGATGTTGCAACTGCACTCTACCTTTTCAAGATAAACTCGATAGTTTCGTCAACCATAACGTTCACCGCCCAAGCTTGTGCCACCCTTGTCCCGTACACTAAAGATATGGCGGCGGGGTCCATACGGCTTAGCGGTGTGCTGCTTGGCCAATTCCTCGGCCTCCTTCAAATGTTCTGCTCCGACCTTTCCAAAATGCCCCTGCTCAGCTATATTCCTCTGCGTAAGTTCCCACCTCTTGACAAAATATTCGTTGCACTTATGAAAGGAGAACTCAACAATTTCAAACAAAGGCAATGATCGAACTCCGGTGAATACACGGTTGAAGGACTCTAAGGAGTTAGTGGTCATGATGCCATACCTGAAACCCCCTCGTCATATGCTAATGCCCACTGAGCCTTCTGTTCCATCTATGCCTCTAACCAGGCCTTTCCCGCTTCATTTATCATCTTGTCTAGTTCTCTCTTTATCTCCTTGAACCGGTGCTCTGTACGTACACAACATAGAGCATTTACCTTATCATATACCTCCTGCTTCCTCTAACGCCGCCAGAAATTAGCGGCAAAGTGTCTCATGCACCATCTATGCACTAGAGGCGGGAACCCATCTATATGCTCAGCTGCAGCATTAAGAAGCCCTGGGTGACGGTCCGAGATCAAACATATAGTGCGAGATGGGCCAAGCACTTGTACACGTAGAAGCCGCATGAACCATGACCACGATTCATTGTTCTCTCCCTCTGCCAAAGCAAATGCCATGGGTACTATCTGGTCCTCAGGATCAACAGCAGCAGCCATCATCAAGGTGCCCATGTACTTTCCTGTCAGGAAAGTGCCATCAACAAGTACGACTGGGCGACAAAACTAGAATGCATGTTCCGTTTGCGCGAACGACCAGAACACATGATAGAGGACATGCCTCAATGGTGTAACATCCAGTCCCGACATACATGGCCCCGGCCCACTCTTCCTAGGAGTGGTCCGACCCGCGTAGCAACCCGCTTGAACTTTCGTCCTCGCTTCGTTCAAAACGGTTAACCGAAGATTACTACGCGTCCCTGGCCCTGGTATTTAAGTCGATCCGGCGATCTCAGAGTTTCCAGTATGGTACTAACTGGTTGCGCAGCGTTTTCCCGTGGTGCTACAGTAAACCGTGAACAGTACCACCGAAAGCGGTCGGCCCATTTTTGGATGAACAGTGCTCGGTGAACAGTGCCCGGAGTTCGGATGTTACAGTAGCCTGCCCATGTTCTGCTACAGTGTCACCCCGCCCATACTGGATTAATTTTGGGCCCACTTTGGCCCATTAGGATGTTACAAATGGGTCCTGAAAACACATCCCTCCGGTATCCACAAACCATTTCAAGCCAGGGTTATAGTAATGCATTGCACATAAGATGCGGGGCACCTTGTTGTACGCTTCCTCCCAACTACCCTAACGAATCGTCAGGGCAATTTGCTTAGCACGCCAAGCATTTCCGTACTTCCCATCGTACTTAACGAATCCAGATATGGACTGTTGTAAAGAAGACACCGAAAATGTCGTTATTATCATCAACGAGCCCCAATATACGATGGGCAAGGTAACGTGCAGTGAGCTACTGATGATTTTTCCTTCCCCCTATTTGTTAGGCAAGTGTGGGGTTTGACAACTTTACTTATCCTCCACTTGCCATCACTCTGTCTCTTTCGTGCATTTAACCTCCACATACAACCGTTTTTGCATATCACGTGGTACCTCAAGTCCTGGTCCAAATGAGTGACGATGTACGGTCTATGGTGATACACAGTATAGTCCTGAAGGAAGAGCTTTATCTCTGACATTGTATTGAATATCATCCCCTTCCTAAGGGTTTCTTTCTCATGGTCATACAATGATTTCCTACACATCTGGAGACCGGTGTCACAAACTGCCATATCCGTCATGTTGACATCCCTATAGTTCGAAATGCCCCTGAAAGGTATGCTCATCGACCTTAGTTGCTCAAGCTCAGTCACTGTGTAAGGTGGTGGTGGAACATACTGCTGCACTTTGCTAATTCTGCCCCATGAATCATAAGGGGTATCATCTGCTGGCAAATCTATGACTAATCTACCCTGAGCCTAGATAGCATGCAAAACCTCAGTTGGTACTGGTGATGGCATACCATGAATAGGTACTGGCATGGCATCAACCTGTATGGGCATAGCATGTCTATCTCCCTGGTCACCATCTGAATCGTCCGAATCACTGCTAACTACATCACCGATCCTGTCCTCCTCCTGCTCCTCCTCTTCCAGTTCGAACTCGTTCACATCGAAATCATTGCTTATACAGCCTACTTGACTTGAATGAAACTGCTTATACGTCAACTGACCATCCAAATCCATGTTAGCCCGAGCTGCTTCCCCTTCGACCCCCAATTCTTGCTCATTGCATCCAACACCGTCAATGGACGACCCGTCCTGGACACTGTGCATCATGTACCCATTCTCCACCACCACCTCAGCCATGGGCACATTGAAACCTTGGAGCACCCTAGTGTAGCGGGACCAGTGAGCAGGGTCACGCAAGGGCATGAGGACATAGTGTGCCCTAGTCTTCCTAGTATCAAACCTCCCCTTCAGTGTAAAATCACCGCTAAACTTTGCATTCAAACGGACACAAAGGTCATTGAAGCTAGGAGGTTCATCAAACCATTCCAATTCTTCTTCGATATCCTCAAACATACCATCTTCTCTCCTAACACTTCCTCCGTATAAAACTCTAACACAACAATCCATCTACAAAAGCATTTCAAGAAACTTCATCAATTCGTCGAAATCGTCGTACCTAATGTCCATAATAATATTAATACATATTCTAACTATAACTATACTAACTAATCTAATATTAACATCTATACAAGGCTAACTACAACAACTAATGTATAACTAGACTCACTAGGGGCGTACCTCGTGGCAGCGGAGCTCATCCTCGCGGCGGCGGCGGCGGGTGGACACGGGATAAAGAGAAGGGCGTGCGACAATTAAGAGCGGTGTACAGCACGGCAGTGAGGGCGGCGGGCGGCCGTGGCGCGGCGGGCAACCGTCGTGCGTGGCCGGAGGCCGCGGCGAGCAGCCGGAGGGGGTGACACGTCGGCATGCGGGCGCGGCGGGCGCAACGGGCAGCCGGCGGCGTGCGGCGGCCGACGTGCATGGTCTACCGTGCCAAGATAAGTGGCGCGGCAGACCCTACCACGTCACCGGTCAGCGAACCCGGTCTTCGCCACGTCATACTCCCGCCGCGCCACCATGCATGGCATGGCACAAGCGTTTCGCCACGCCATGGCAATAGGCGCGGCCAAAAATGTTAGTTTTGGAAAAAGAAAAAACAGTGCTAGATTTAAAATTAGTTTAAAAAAGTGTTAAAAAAATTCCAAACAGTCCAGCATTGGAAAATTATACTGTCGAAAAGGATAAGCAACTCAGAGAGCACTGAGAGAAAGGGACAAAAATAAAGCATTAAACTTTCCAAAAGTATAACACAAGGCCAGCGCAAGAGTGATCAACCCAAGCTGCAATCCGACATTTTGAAAGGAGTGCAGAGAGCAGAATAAGGTACTAAGTGATAAGACAAGCACAGCACAGGTCATACCTGAACTTTCAGGCACTTCATAATTTAGGCATTGAAGAGATTTACATACAAAAGAAAGCATCAATATCTTTCATTCACTCAAACAAGGAACCATAAGAAAGATACAAAAGTTAGCGATGGCAAGACGAATGAATCTCGATACAGCAAGAAATGGTACACAGACAAAATGCAAAATGTGCAACCCAGCAGTCTGGGTTCCTATTTTCAGGAAACATCGGGTTAGTCATCTAGTGCACAACAATGGAAATGTCATTTGATTTCATCTCCATGCTTCAATCCGTTCAACCTTGGAATTTATCCGGCTCACAATGCTCACACCTCTTGATTTCTCAGCTGGAGGCGTGGCACGCATTGCAGACTGACCCTTACCTTTTCTAGTCCTACAATTCAGGTTTTGGCTCTCCTTCCCTTGAAGAGAATTTGTAGTAGTGCTGGAAGCATCAGCAGTAACAACGTGAGCAGCAAGTTCAGGTTGTGAGCAACTAGCGGAGCTCTCTGGACTTGTCTGGACAGTGAAAGCAGGAGTGGCTCCTTCGGCGGCATTAAGTCCATTAGGTTTGTCCTCATTACTGTGTGCAGGACTGTTCAGGAGGGGCTCATCCTTGGCGAAAGAGGGACGCCTGGATCCTTCCTCAAGGAGAGAATCAAGTGTCACGCTGGGTTTCTGATGCCCATTTTCATCAGATGGATCCTTCTGGGGCAGCAAAACATCCTCTGGACTGGACTCTTCTCTATCCTTGAGGGTCCTTTGTATTAACATCTTCAGAAAATTCATCACTTGCACAGCATACATCAGTGCAGTCAATGGATCTGCCATCTGCAAGGCAGATGGCCTATAGTTAGCATGCCTAACCATTTTAGTTGTATTTGGAGCGACGAGTGAGATATATTGTTAATTTGCTAGGTTATTAGCACAGTATATTACCTGAGTCATATTTGGTGCAAAAACCATAGCAATATTGCGAGCGTTCATCTTGTTTATCTCTTCTTCTTGGACTACATCAGCCATCAGGTTAACAGACCAATCAAGCAAAGCAGCTTCAGCTGGTGGAAGGCATTTAGCAACACGAGCACAATCCTCTTCAGATTGGCATTGCATCACCTGTTCAGGCGGGATCGAGTCCAGCACCCCATTTGGCATCTCCCTAAACCAGGCCTGGAAAGTGATGAAAAAAGTAAATTTGATGAGAATATACTTGTCTTGTCAAGTAAAGAAATAAGTTGACCACACTACATGACTGCTTCCAAAAGCAAGATAATATTCTGCAACAGCATGATCCAAAATCCACAATTTTGTGTGTATCTCTACTACTTAAAACAATGGAATTGATGGTGATGGTGTCATTGGTGTGTCCGCAATCACCACCACTCTATGTCTCTACCCATATTTTTCGCTTTATTTACCCACCCTGCCCCTGGACACAAATTAGTTTCACCCTCACCCCAATCTTTCTCTAACATCATGGAACCAAGGTTAGCCATATATACAAATGTATTTCTTTGATATGTAGTGCCATTGCAATGCATGGGCAGTTTTGCTAGTAGGGAAGAAAGTTGAGGCAATATTTTTGTGCAAGAAAAAAAGATAAATTGAGTTATAGTACAAAGTGAAGTGTGGATTCTCTGACAGTAGTTGACATGAAATTCCAACAGTAAAGATAAGCACAATCATTAATAACCTCACACGATTAAAAACTTATGCTGCCAACAGATGAACAGAATAATTAGAAAGAAGCTTACTTTAATTAGGCCTGCCAAACAATGGACCTCAATGCCATCCAGAACAATTCCACTATTTAACTGGTCTCTCACAAATTCCTCCTGGCTATTCTCCGCGTTAATACGGAAAATACCTTCTGCCTGAAAGTACAAAGGAAGACATTGTATTTGATCAGACAAAGTTACTAAGCGCTAATGAGAACAGGAGTCGTGGAGATCCTAACAGAACACACCTGAAGACCACCCTGTTCATAAAGGCGCCTTTGCATCATCAACAGGATCGTTGGGACACTATTTCTTCTCGTATCGTAGGAACACTGCATTGATTCTGTTGAAACTCCAAAGACGCTTGCACTGAATTTCAAGTTTCAATTAGCCGATTGCAACAGTCAAAGCACACATGCAGTGGACGTGTTGTTAAAAAATGCACATTTGTACCGCACAATAAATCTGCCCTTTGCAATATTAAGAATATGACCACTATGTCATAGATGTGATGTTAATGAATCTTTTAAAAATCCATAATTAACAATTTCAGTGGTGCCCAAGAACATCATCTGAATCCTTAAAAATTATATGCAAGGGAACCAGTCTTCACACGTAGAAGAAGTTAAAAACTAAGGATCAATGTAAAGTTATGGGAAAAAATCAATTTTTTTATTCAGGGCTGAACGTACTGATTTGGTGATAGTTGACTCCAGCACACATGCCCAAACTATGACCTTTCTGTTTCATCTTAGGAACTCAGCTCATTTAAGAAGATATATCCAATTATCTGAGTTGTATTGATCCTATACCAGCAATCCTTGAGTTTGAAGATTGGGTGTAGGTGTTTGTGCCACTTTATCTTCTTTTGGAGGCACTAGGTTCCCATCCTTGTATAAAGTAGGAACCAGATACAGAATGCTTTAGTTTATTCCTTTTGGATTACAAATAATACTGAAAACGTAAATCTTGAAACTCCCAATAAGAAACAAGATACCTATGCACTTTTCTTATACTTTGTGTTCTGTCTGTTTTGAGCATGAGTCAGAAATTACGGGGAAGCAGAGAAACAATATTTCAACTCCTAGGGCATGATAAAAGAATAAGTAGCTCGCAAATCTAGTGCAAATAGAAGAGCATAAACCATCTAATCAGGACCACCTATACCAGCTTGTTTCAATGTTCTTTATAATAGATGATTTAACAATCTACTTTATATCCCTAGTTCAATGTACAAAATTCCTGGATGATGTAAGCAGCTACAGAAAAATCATGTGAACCAATTATATGAAGCAACAGAAAATATTTCTGTACTAAGTGGTGGTCGAAAGCATAATAAATTATCAACTAGCCATCAAGATATTTGCAGTCTATCATATCTCAAATCAAGCCAAGCTAAGCCAAGCCAAAGGTTACCAATACAAACACACACCAGAACATAATGGGGTTTGCAATGACGGGGCCATCTTTACAATCCAATTAGAATCCAAATGATCATCAGGCAAACAATTGTGCATTGAAAATGCTAAAAAATCACTAAACTTTTAACTAAGCACGTTTGTAGCAACCACAGTTTAGGAATTTGGGAGCAAAAAAAGTAATCCACCAAAATAAATTTAACGAGGAACTAAGAATTTCCTTAAAAACTAAATGCTATTAGACCACTGATCTGAGAATAAAAAGCGAATCTTTCAAAGCACGCGCTTGGTACCGACTAATGAACAAGGGAGATGGGACCGACCTGGCACTGGGAGCGCGGCGGGGCACCTCGGGCTCGAACTCGACGGGGAGCCCCAGGAATCCATGGAACCTATCGAAGGTGACGTGCGCGACGTGCTGCACGTCCGTCGGCAACCCAATCTCCATCCCACAGCCGCGGCCTTCGCCTTCGCCGCCGCCGCCGTCCACCACCACACTGCAGCCGAGCAGGGACTTCCGCAGCAGCTCAAACAGCAGCGCCAAGAACGACCACCGCTCCTCTTCCTCCTCCTCCTCCGACCCTCCTGCCTGCCGGATTCCTCGGCTCCCTGTAGATCCAGCTGGGCGCTCCGGGCTGCAGCTTCCGGGGAGCACGTCGCTGTCGGCACTGGCTAAATAGCGCAGCGAGGAGCGCGAGGAGGAGGCGCGGCTTGCGGGGGAAGCGAGGTTGGCCGGGCCCCGGGGCAGCGCCACCTCCGTCATTGCTTCCTCCTTTTTCGATTTCTCGCTGGAACTATAAGCTGTATGTGGGGGCGATTCGGGACGATTTCTTGGGATTTCTCGGATGGTGGAGCGGGGCCAAATGCACCAACAAATGATTGGGGACTCCCGTGGTGGAGTTCTTGGTGCGCTCTATTTAGGATTTCTTCGATGCTCGCTTTGGACTGGAGATTGGGACTGTTGAGGCAGGATTTTAGGGGAGGATTTGGTTGCGGTGGTGCGCGTGGTCCAAATCCACGATGCAAACCACAACACAAAAAATTATTGCAGCGGCCACAAATGAACAGCAAAAGGGGGATTTTTTTAAACTTCAGTAAAGACCCAGTTTTAGCCGGAGATGATGAAATCTCGTGGGCTGTTTGGTGGAGAATGGATGGGATTTTTGCGGAGGTGGAGTTGGATTGAAGGGAGGGCTTCAGCTGGAGGTGATGGCACCATCATTCATCTCCTGCTCTGCTCTTATGCACACATGGATGCTCATGCCGCTCATGGTTCTCGCTTCCCGTTCACGCGTGCGTTTCTTCTCCATTTTTAAGCTAATCCGTCAGAGAAAGTCTAAAGCTGTTCTGACTGTTTCGAATTGGCTACGTCGCCGAAAGTTTCCGGAACCGATTAACTGCAGGACAGCGTAATGTCAATTCCCATGATACCGAAAGTCTCGATTTGGTTCAGCTGAAAAAAGGCCCAATCTGGCTCTGCAAGTGCAAAGTGTCAAAAGGTTAAAAGGGCTGATAATACTCGTCAAATACCTTCTCCAATCATCTCAATTTGTGCCGCTAGGGCGTGTTACTGTCACGTTTAACTGACATGTACTCAACAATCCATCAAAAGAAATGAAGTGCCTTGGTCAAAAAGAATACTAACTCTAGCTGTTAAGTCAAACTTACAACGCGTTGCTAACCGCATCCCTCTTCCAGTCCTAACTCAGAATCATGTAAAAAGTAATGGGTCGTTAATCTCATAATAACATGTAAGAACCCGAATGATATGAAAAAGGAATAATCTTATTTATTGTCAGGTCATGGTGTAAATAGATTACCATCTTAATGTTAATAATCAGAGACATTCAACAATACCTCCACATTAACCCTCGTGATATGGACTAAGAAAATAAGCTTCCGGAAATCCTCAAAATCATAGACATCTAACCTTATTAGTTTAGTACATAATAGGCATAATCATTATAATAGCATGAATCTATTCTAATTCTTAAAAACCCTATGCAACTCAGCCATTATTAAAATTATATAAAGTAGCCTTAAATTACCTAGCTTTACCATTATGATAGATAATTTAAACAACCCATAAATTTTCATCTAAATAACCACATTTACCACTATGGAAGATAATGCAAAGAAACCGCATACATTTTCTTTAAAATTACCCACATATCTATTATGAAAGAAAATATAAAATAACCCATTTAATTGTATTTAAATGAATAACCTATGTCGTTATCAAAATGGCAAACCAAAATGTGCCTCAAATATACGCCTAAATATCAATACATACCACCATTAAATTAATAGTAACATAAATGATGTGTGTTGCAGTCATGGAAAAATGTAGCCTTAACAAACAACATGCCAACTGACATATAGTTTAAATTGCATTAATACTCTATGATAATAAATTTTATAAGTTATTATATTAAATAAATTTATACATTTGGAATGAACAATCATGACATCAATGTTGGTTTAATTTTTAAGAACTCTACATTTTTTATGAAAAAAATACTATTACAGATAGCTCTTTGATATAGCAAACAAATTCAACTCTAGAGTACTGTGACGTAGCTAGGTGAAACAATTGTTTATGCCGTTGTTAAGCTAAGATTGTGGGCTACGACCTATAATCTATTTTTTTATAGAATGTAAAAGCCAAAATTTTAATATTGAAGTTATAGTAACTAAAGTTTTAGATTAAGAAGTGGATAAAAAAACTGCAACTAATAAAAATATTAAAAGTCAAAAGCCAAAATCTAGATCCCTGATGTCACAGAAACTAATAAAAAAGAGCTGATATAACCATCTTATCAAACTAAAAACTTGTCCCGTTAAACTTTGCTTGTCAAACTTGGTGAAAAACATTATTCTTGCTGAATTGTTGTGAGAGAAAAATACTGTTTCAGCTGGAAAAACAAGCCGAACAAGCCGGTTTCTAAGTAAGTCGGGATTATGCAAGAGCATCCCTAATGTCTAAGCTAGTGTCCAAATACTTGTTCTTTGGAATTCTGCAAGAGCATCAATCAGCTTAGTGTCCAAATTTGGAATTTAACCGGTGTTCTTGACTGGGCCTCTTTCTACCATTATTTTGGGCCGGTGGATTGTCTTTTATTTTTTGAATTTTTGGGCTAAAATGAATGGGAAATACTAATTCTGTTGTTCTTTCAATGGGACCGTTCTGGCACATGGACGTCCTGACTAAATAGGATTCCGTCGGACGGCCGTTTCCCGAGCGCATGCGCAGCCTGCCCTTCGTCCGCTAACTCGCCCTGCCCGCATGCGTATCGCGCTGTCGTCGCATCCGTACGACTCCCGTGTAATCTGCCCTGCCCTGCTCGATTCGACCCACCCCATCCGTGCACCTCGCCCCTATCTGTTCGCCCCACCCTGCAGGTGCACCCCGCCACGTCGTGCCCCCAACCGCCGGCCCCAGCGTGCCGCGCGCCACGTTCACCGGCCACAGGCTTGCGGCGCCCCATTCAATTCCCTGGTGCCCGTGTCATGGCACCATCAATCCCCCATGCCCCCTGACTCTCCGAACAGCATGAAACACTTGAATGTAGCATAGTCTGAAATATATGAAACATCTGAAACATACACTTGCAATATATATGTTAAAACATATACAACATCCAGATAGAACACTAGGCAACTTGCAACATAAAAACATTTGCTGCAACAGAAGACTAGAGCAGATACATTTTTTGGAACATACTGTTGCAACATGAGTGAAACATTTGCAACATCCAGATCAAAACGCTTGCAACATACGTCTAGAACAGATGAATCATTTTGAACAAACTCTTGCATCATGTCTCTGAAACACTTGCAACATATACAACATCCCCAATCTACTTTTGCAATATCCATATGAAACAACTGCGACATACCTCTAAAACATCTGAAACACTTGAAACATATGTTTGCAACATAGGAGAGGGGGAGCGCATGTGCCGGTCAATTCCAGCCGTCGGGGTGGGAGCTAGCGGCGAGTGGCAGCACGCGAGCACCACTAGCATCCAGCACCAGCGGCGTGCGTGAGCACCACCGCCATCAGCGCCACCACCACTGGGCTTGGGTCGGCATGGCGGACGGCGTGCGACGGGTGGAGCGAGAAGCACCAACACCAGCACGCGCGGTGGGAGGGGCAAGAAGTGCGTGCGACGGGGCACGAGCGAGCGACGGCGGATGGGGCACGCCGCAGCAGCAAGGGGAGTGCGTTCCCGTGTCTAGGATGGGGCAGCCGCAAGGCGTTGCGACAGGGGAGGAGGAAGCGTAAGTGATAAGGATGGGTGATTTTTTTTTAATAAACTCACGGGCAGAGCGAGTGGTGGGGTAAAAGCTCAAGCAGCTCGGCGGTAGGCCTGCGGGAGCGTCTGACGATTTGCTCGTGTAGGACATAAGACGCGTATGATTACCGTCTTTCAATAATCTTAGTTCATAGTCACATTTACTCCATATACTCCATATATACTACTCCCTCTATTTTTAAATTATAGATTGTTTTTGCTTTATTCTAAGTCAATTTCTCTAACTTTGACTAAATTTCTAAAAGAATATATTTACATCTACAATACTAAATAAATATACTAACAAGACATGTTTGGTAGATATAAATAAACTAAATTAATTTTATAGATGTTGTTTTATTCTTTCAACAAAATTAGTCAAAGTTATAAACGTTTAACTTAGAAAAAGTGAAAACAACCTATAATTTGAAACAACAGAGTAACAACGTTGTCTTAGAAAATAATTGCTGGTAAGCAAAGTTCATTTTAGATTTGATTTAATGCATCGGAGGATTATCTATCTAGCCAGCAGTTTTGGATTATTGACCTAAGCATCCTGGGAAGGGAGAGATCAAGCAAAATAGAAGTCCTTCCCAAATAGTGCATATTTTTGTTTTGTCCTAGGTCAGTCTTTTAAATTTGATAAGTTCATAGAAAAAATATCAACATTTACAAAACCAAATTAGTATAACTATCTGCCATTGGATATTTGTTGTGTTAAAAATGTGGCTACATCTTAACTAATTTGGCCAAACTTGAAGACGATTGACCTAATAAGAGAACTAAAACATCTATTTTCTAACCGAGGGAGAATTATCTTATTTGTATTGTATGAGTCCGTTGGTTCAAAGTTGATGAGTAGTATGTTTATTTAGAAAGGGTAGTAGATGTATGGGTAATTCTCTAGAATATTTTTCCTTCTACAAAGTTTTAGATAGATAGAATAGTTTGTAACTCAAATGACCATGGTACCCCTATTTTTAGACCATGTCACATTACACGTAATCACGTAGAAAGACTAGTAGTTGTATGGATAATTGGCTCAGCTATGATTACAGATACGTACATATGGAGATTGGACTAGACGACATAGGCTCTGTTACTTGGTTTGAAAAACTGGTGAAAAGTGGGTTGAAAAACACTGCTTTAAATTTGAATTATTGTGAGAGAAAAACACTGTTCCGGCTGAAAAAAGAAGCTGAACAAACCATTTTTAAGACAAACGAACCGGGCCATACAGATACGTACAGTATATGCGGCTGAGTCAATTAATGTGGGCCCCATTAACTGTCCAAAGGCTATAGAAGAGTCATGGGACAAATTTTGAATTCTAAAATGACAATTTTTTTTGGGATTGAGGTAGTAAATGCCTAAAGAAGATTCGTCTACAATTTTAGGCAATCTTGGTTAGTTTTTGTTTTTACGACTGCAATTGAAAAAAGGACAACCACTTTTATTGTTGTTTTTTTGCATAGAAATGCAGCTTTATTTGTGTCATTTCCTGTGAAAATTCGGCTGCATTTTTTTTTGAGATTGGCTGCATTTATTTCTACCTATATGCTTCCTTAGTCAATTTTGATCGGAAGGAAAATAAATCAGCTATATTTATTCTGGTGTGACAAAAGATCGCATGGATTATGGCTCTGTTCGGCTGAGCTGGATTAAAGCCGGCTGGTCGTTTTTGGCTGATTTGATGTGAGAGAAAAATACTGTTTCGGCTGAAACATGAACAATGTTATCTGAGGAGGAACCAGCCAGCTCCAGCTAGCCGAACGAAGCCTATGTTTTCATTGGATGGGAAATTTGGTTGAGAAGAGAAATAAAAGGCGTGCGTTAGGCCGGTGCATGGCCGTCTTTCTTGTCACTTCTTGACTGACCATGGGCCCCTTCTTCCTCCTCACCTCCGGGGCCCCATGCCCTTCTTCCTAGTTTATCGTCTCCTGCAGCCCTGTGTCCTCCTATCCTTCTCCTCACCCCTTGCCCCACCACTGCCCACCAAGGCACGCTATGGTTCCCCGAGCTCTGTGATTCACTTGCAGGCACCATGAGCTCAAGCGAACCCTAGCGCTCTGCATGACTCTGAGCCCCGGTGAAACCCAAGCGTGCCTGCAGCATCCGCCTTCTTCCCTCTCCTTCTGCGTCGAGCTTTGGCCATGGAGCTCCCCCACACCAACCAGGGCCCCTAAACCGTTCCTACAGCCGTCCCCACTGCCTGGCCAGCCTTCCTCCCCCAAATCCGCCCCTTCTCTTCTAAGCCCGTTAGAGTTAGGGAAGAGAGAGAGAGAGAGAGAGAGAGAGAGAGAGAGAGAGAGAGAGAGAGAGAGAGAGAGAGAGAGAGAGAGAGAGAGAGGTGAAAGACGACGCGCGCAGATAAGGTGGCCTCGCGGTAAACTAAAAAAACACACGGCCATTTTTAAGTCATTACCGAAATAAAATTAGCCGATAGCTAATAAGTCCAGGGGATTGTCGCTGATCGAGATGTGGATGTTTGGATGGGCCATTGCGATTTTTTGTTAGAAAAAAAGTTTTGGGCCAGTAACAAGGTTTACGTGTTCGTAGCAGTGTGCAATCTAGCCCATATAAAGCCTCATTCCGTGCCTTATAGGCCCAGCCCATTAGAAATCTGCTTATAATTTGTGGTGCTTCCATCCGTTCTTCTCTGATTAAATATAAATAAAAATACTTTTTTTTCTAAAAAAGAAATCCGTTCTTCTCCAACTTTTCGTGTGGCAGTGTTCTCGATCTTTCAATCGGCAACTAAGACGCGAGTAATTCATTTTGAATACGAGTTGGATTGTTGGAATTGAAACATAATCAATCAAGACGTACGATACTTGCAGATGGATGCATCCATTACAGTTTGGGCTTGCCAAAGGCACCAAATTCAGATGAAATCTAAGACCTACGAAATCACAGAAAACATTCAATTTCTAACACCATAAGATATCTGCGTAAGTACTACTCCATTATCTAAAACAGCATCATTAGTCGCATGATCACACTTGCGTCGGTAGCTGAAGAAACCAGCGGCCTGAGTCCTGATCCAATCAATGGAGTGCGTACAGTGCAGCGCTATGCAACGCGAACCAATAACGATGTCGGCATGGGAAGCATGGTGGGTTCCGGCGCGGCGGCGGCGAAGCCCGGTCCGGCGTACATCGCCCGCGGCTTCCATAGTATCTCCTCCTCCGTGTCGTCGATGTCGTTGCTGCCAGTACTGCTGCTCTCGCCATCGTCGAGCAGCTCGGCCAGCGGCGGGCAGCGCTTCTTGTGCACGTCCCAGCGCTCGGCGGACGTCGCGCGGCTGATCGGCCACTTACTGCTGCTGGCCAGGGAAGACGTTCCTGAAGACGAGGACGAAGAAGCAGCAGGGCTCACCGTCTTCTTGTGCGCGTCCCACCTCTCCACGGAATCGGCCCGGCTGTGCTTGGGCGGCGACGAGCTCGCGCTCTTGCGGGTGGATCCGCGTCCGGCGCAGCTCCTGACGCTGTCGGCTGAAGTGGAAAGAGGGCTTGATGAGGCTGAGGTAGCTGACTCCGTCTTGTGCGCGTCCCACCTCTCGTCGGAGTCGGTGCGGCTGGGCTTGGCGAGCGGCTTCGGTAGGATGGCGGCGACGCACGGCGTCGGCAGCAGTGGGAGCATCTTCCACTTGGGCGGGGTCGGGAGAAGCGCCGGGAGAGCTGCGTGTGCCACCTTGAGGTGCACGCGGGCAACCGGGATGGCCATGGTGGATGGAAGACGACGTACGGAGACGCACACGACACGATCGAGAAGCGCCTCGAGTGAGCTGAGGAGATGATGCGGAGAGAGGCGATGGTGAGACGATCGCCGGTGGCAACCGCAGATATATATAGGCCCCAGCTGGGGCGCCGGACGAGTCGGTGGTATCATCAGGTGAGTCAATCGGAGTCGACGACAGAATTCATTCAACGACGTGCCTGCCACGTGGGCCTCACGCCATTTTTGTTCGATTCGGTTACGGTGCTGGTTCCGACGCGCACAGGAGTCAGGAGATAGTTCAAGAGGAAAAAAGGAACTTTTTCCATGTGACAATTTGGTAGAAATATTTGGTCTTATTTTTTTGAAAATAGAATATTTGGTCTTATGGGTTACATTTTGCACAACTTATGGACTTGTTTATACCCACCCCTACAAATGCTCAAAGACGGGAACATCGCATATCACTGAAAGAACAACGTCACGGGAAATCGAATCTAGAACCTGCGGTGCTTCTAAGGCCCTTGTAACTAATAGACCGCATGCCATTTCACAGTTGTTTATATAGATTTTTTTTTTTGAAAAACACTTGTGTTATATGGTGGTGGTAGCAGTGTGCAACCTAGCCCACGTAAAGCCTCGTTCCGTGGCTTTATAAGCCCAGACCATTAGAAATTGTGCTTATAGTTTGTAATGCTTCCATCCGTTATTCTCCGCTAGCTGTACTTCAGTAGTTCATACTTGCGCGGTTGTGCCAATGTCCCTCTTTGAGCAGGCAAAGACGCGAGTAATTCATTTTGAACACGACACACGAGTGGAGTGCTGAAATTGAAACATAATCAATCATGAATTCAAGATAACACTCGCAGATGGATGCATCCATTTACAGTTTGAGCTTGCAAAAGGCACCAAATTCAGATGAAATCTAAGACCTACAAAAACATAGAAATCATTCAAATTCTAACACCATAAGCATCATTAGTCGAAGTAGCACCATTACATGATCACACTTGCTTAGGTTAGGTAGCTGAAGAAACCAGCGGCCTGAGTCCTGACTCCTTTTCTCCTCCGAATGCGATACTGATTCTAAAAAAAAAGTAATCAGCCAATTTTATTTCTCTTCTCAACCAAATTTCCCATCCAATGAAAACATAACATAAGCATCCATGTGATCTTTTGTGACACCAGAATAAAAACAGTTGATTTGTTTTCCTTCCCAATCAAAATTGACTAATGAAGCATACCGATAGAAATATTGCAGTCAGATTTCCAATGGAAGTGACACAAATAAAGCTTCATTTCTATGCAAAAATAAAAATAAAAGTTGTTGTCCTTTTTTTCAATTGCAGTCGTATCGTAATAACAGAAACTAACTAAGATTATCAAAAATTTTAGACGAGTCCTCTTTAGGCATTTACTACTCAATCGTAAAATAACTTGTCATTTTAGGTAGTGTTTGGTTGATGGGATGGGGTGGGATAGTCCCTCTTTTGGGGTTGTTTGGTTGAGGGGCGAGCTAGAGTGGAATGGTCTCTGTGGGGGATATATCCTCAGGTACCACAAGATGGTACATGGGCCGCACCATCCAAGGTGGCCCGGGCCGTGAGATCAAGGCGTACACGGCAGGATTACAAGTTGTACTAGATATTGTAATAGTACCGAATTGGATACTTTACTTGTAACCTTGTCTCTTCGGAGTATATAAGGAGAGACAAGGGTTCCCTAGAGGACATGTTAATCTGTATACATCTCAATACAATACACCAAAGACATAGGACGTAGGGTATTACGTCGATCAGATGGCCCGAACCTGTCTAAATTGCTGTCTCTGCGCCTTGTGTCACCATCTGGTTCATGATTACGCGCACCGTCTAACGACAATCTACCATCATGGGCATACCCCTAGATGGACTGCCGACCATATTTCGTCGACAGTGGCGCGCCAGGTAGGGGTCCCCTTTTAGGGGTTGTGCGTGCTGATCTTCCAGCGAATCAGATGGCGATTTTCTTCATCAACGTCGTTCGCAGCAACTCGATCTGCTACAGCGGCGTCCCACAACCTGATGAGACTCGATCAATGTCGTGTCCCTACGGATCAATCTACTACTCAAAGCTTTTGGTTCTGTACATGGGCTACTCGGCGTCTCTTTCGGCGACAAGTCTCGACGGATCAGCCAAATCAATTGGGACTGAAGCCTGGTGACGTCAGGCTGACCAACAAGATAACACGAAGATCCAATCAAGCCAAGGCCGTAGACGATCCAATTCATGAGACCATGCAGTTCATTATGGACGTGCATATGCATGGTCATGTCTCTAGCTCAATAAAAAATCCGTCCGTCATGAAGCCGAAGGCTCTGACCAGTCGTGGGCTTGTCCATAGCACATGAAGACTACGCAAGCAAGCTAGCCAAAGGTTGCGCATATAGGAGTCTGAACACGTGCACCAACGGGGCGGACAAGGAGTCTGAACACCACGCAAGATTAAACGACGCTCTGCTATCTGCGACTTCCTATCGACAAGCAAGCAAACGAGGACTGGATGATCTACAAAGCATGCACGTGCTGATAAATTAGCCTGCATGCGTGTGTGCATATACATGTACAAACAGCTGACGGGCGACGTCCAAAGCTAAGTCAATACTTGTATTTATTTTCTATTTTATATCCCATGAGATAGTATGTGTCCAGATATCTCCCACATATGCGTGATTATTTTGGCAGGAGCCGAGCAGCCATCATTAACCTGGAACTCCAACCAATCGGACGCATCCATACAATGCAACACGTACAATGAAATACGTCAAAGTCCGAATACATGGAGCTGTCCGAGCCATCAAGCGAGCCACGCCGAGCCGCTAAGCGAGCCACGCCGAGTTCCGACCACATCGACCACGACCACGTCGACCACGTCCCGAGCGGCCCCGCCGAGCTCCGACCACGTCGACCACGTCTCAAGCGGCCCCGCCGAGCTCCGACCACGTCGACCACGTCTCGAGCGGCCCCGCCGAGCTCCGACCACGACCACGTCGACCACGTCCCGAGCAGCTCCGCCGAGCTCCGACCACGTCGACCACGTCCCGAGCAGCTCCGCCGAGCTCCGACCACGTCGACCACGTCCCGAGCAGCTCCGCCGAGCTCCGACCACGCCGACCACGATCACGTCCCGAGCAGCTCCGCCAAGCTCCGACCACATCGGCCACCAGACCACGTCGCAATGATGATCGCCGCGAAGAACGGCGCTATGACAATCGCGACCACAGTCATGGCGACAGGCCGAAAAGCTCGAGGACCGGACAACTTCATTGCGACCAACCAGATGTCTATCCAAAGATAATTTTCCTCAACAACGCCATCCGCGGCAACCCAGCTTCTCGCGGCAGGCGTTCAACGATCACTGTACCGGGGATACATGCAAGAGGTGACGTCAACTAGTATATCCATCGTATTCATGCACGACGGACATGCAATCCAGCAAGATCAAGGCGACGACATGTGGAGTTTCGTCAAAATTGCGGCAACTCGGCGTCAATCTGTGACGGCGGTTTTTCCCATCATATCGTCCACGACGGCCCTCATGTGCGTCCGTCATGAGGCCACAGTTCCGACCAGGCGTCGGCTCAATCCACAACAGCACGAAGACAACGCAAGCTAGCCAAGAGTTACGCATATACGCGTATACATCTACACAAGTATACATGCAAGCCATCTCATTGGGCAGAAGGCCAAGACGATTTGTTCACACGCCCAAAAGCTAAGTGAATTCTCAATTAAATATTTATTACTTGATTTCTATTCAATGACACACAAATCTTTTTATTTTTCCTCATGCACCATCTCGCGCGGCATCTCGCGATGACCGAAGCAAGATGCGTGCATGATGGGATCATCGACTCAAGGCGCACGCCTGCCGCTGGAGCTTGGAGGAGAGGGTGTACAGACACAGGTCGGAACGTCAAGGCCAAGTACATGAGCTCTAGAGCACTCGGAAGCCAGACGTCGATCAACTCATGTTGAGCCATCGGCGAGCCGTGTCGATCCGTCAAACAAGCCGTCCGAGCTGTCTCGCAAGTCACGACGAGCCACGTTGAGCCGCGTCGAGCCGTTGAGCGAGCCGCGCCGAGCCACAAGCGAGCCACGTCAAGCCATCTCTCGAACATCGCAACACGCCGACTACACCCACCGGTCGTCAATAAAGCTAAGTATTATTTTTAATTGAAAATTTCTTCGATCATCGTACACCTCCGCCGACCACCCTAAGGGTGCGCTCCGCGTCGAATTTTCTCCATACATACAATCCAAAACATGTATAAGTTTTTACAACGGTTCGCCGATATGTTTTCCTTCCTGCTTGAGAATCCCAGAGCCGGCACTGTCTCCGGCTCCACCCCATGCGTGCATGAGAGTCCGCCCTATGCGCTACGGGTAGTCGGCAGTCGCTCCTTGGTAACACTGGCACTCTACGCACGGCAGCGTTCCGTACCTCGCGCTACGAGATGTTGGTTAGCCCAGGGCTGGTGCATTCTCTAGGACAGGTTAATACATCGCGCTACGTCGCTACATAACAAAAAGGGCTAAAAACAGCTAATGTTATTTTTCGAATATTACACCAAGTATAATTCATCGCCAACCGAACACCAAGTGTTTACTTCACCTCCTACAGAGATATCAATATATTTCGTACATCATCATGTACTACCGCTCTCCGTGTTTATTTTTCAGGAACATAGTTCAGTCAACGAGCTCATGCTTCGGGGCTCGCCAAGACCACTACGGTGCTCGAGGACTCTGGCCAGACCACCCTTGTGCTCGGGGACTCGCCAGACCACTCCGTGCTCTGGGACCCTCGGGGACTCGCTAGACCACTCCGTGCTCTGGGACTTCTGGCCAGACCACTCCGTGCTCGGGGACTGCCTCAATCACTCTTCGACCATGGCTTGGGGACTTCGTCGCTCGCTCCTCGACCTGTGCTCGGGGACTGCCTCGATCACTCTCCGACCACAGCTTTG